AGGGTGTATCTGGGTGTCCCTGAGTGTCCCCTGGGTGTCCCCCGGGTGCCACCGGGTGTCCCCAAATGTCCCTGGGTGTCACAGGGTGTCTCTGGGTGTCCCTGAGTGTCCCCTGGGTGTCCCCGGGTGTCACTGGGTGTCCCCAAATGTCCCCGAGTGTCCCTGACTGTCCCCAAGTGTCCCCTGGGTGTCCCCGGGTGTCACCGAGTTTCCCTGGGTGTTCCTGGGTGTCCCCAAATGTCCCTGGGTGTCACAGGGTGTCACAGGGGTGTCCCTGAGTGTCCCCCGGGTGTCCCCGGGTGTCACCGAGTTTCCCTGGGTGTTCCTGGGTGTCCCCAAATGTCCCTGGGTGTCCCCCAGATGTCCCTAGGTGTCCCCGGGTGTCCCCAAATGTCCCCAGGCCTGTCCCCAGGTGTCCCAGTCTGCCCCCGGGACACTGGGGGGACATTTGGGGACACTGGGGGACACTAGGGGACACTGACGATGTCCCCAATGTCCCCCCAGGCAGCAACGCCGTGGACGAGCACGGGGACAAGGTGAGGGGCCGGGGGGGGTGGCTGTCCCCAAACTGTCCCCAGAGCGTGTGGCACAGCGGGGCAGGGGCGGTCCCGGGGGGCGTCCGGTCCCTCCCCCACCCCTGGTGTCACTTTTGTCACCAAAGCCCTTCCTGCCACCGCGGGGACATCCGGGGGACATCAAAGGGGTGACGACGGCCCACGGGGGGGACAGGACGTGAGGGCCGAGTGTCACCCAGGTGTGAAATGGCCTCGGTGTCCCCTCGGGTCCCTTTGGTCCCCTCAATGTCCCCTCTCTGTCCCCACAGATCCCCGATGAGTTTGACAGCGGTGAGTGACCCCGGGGCAGGTGACAGGGGAGGGGACAGTGCCACCCCCTCCCCCAACCCAGTGCCACCCCCCCCAATGCCACCACCCCCCCCCAGTGCCATTTGTCACCTCGGTGTCACCCCCGGCCCCTTTCATGCCCTGGTGTCACCCAAAAGGGGTGGGGGTCCCTTTTGTGGGGGGTGGGACAGGGAGGGGGAGACACTGTCCCCTTCTGGGGGGTCCCTGCCCCATTTGGGGGGTCCCTGTCCCCTCTGTGGAGTCCCTTTCCCCTTTTGGATGGTCCTTGTCCCTTCTGGGGGATCCCTGCCCCATTTGGGGGGTCCCTGTCCCCATCTGGGGGGATCCCTGCCCCATTTGGGGGGGTCCCTGTCCCCATCTGGGGGGATCCCTGCCCCATTTGGGGGGTCCCTGTCCCCGTCTGGGGGGATCCCTGCCCCATTTGGGGGGTCCCTGCCCCCCCAGGACCCGGGGGTCTCACGGGGGTCCCGCAGACCCCGTGGGGATCCGGCACCTGCGGAGAACCTTCAAATACTTCAAGGATTACAGGGGGGGGGGGGGGGGGGGAATTTGGGGAGGTTTTGGGGGGTCCC